GTAGGGGATACAGACTAAATTTATGAAACGAAATCTCTTTTGAAACCCCGAGTAGTGGATACTCACCGAATGTGTGGAGCAAAATAAAGTGCAATTCTACTCTCATGCAGGAGAGACAGATTTATTAACATTCAAGCGAATGTTGTTCCAAAGAAAACTGTTTTAAATTCCGTCTTGAATCTGCCGTGAAGGGCATCCGCGATCCTTGAATCTGCCGTGAAGGACAGTAGTAATTATTGAATTTGCGAATAAAGCAGCAGTGAGACCATTGAGTTTTCCGAGATCTGAATCATATGACAAGTTCTTCAAAAATATTGGATTATTCTGTATAAATTAGTTAAGGGCAGTCAACTTTGCCGAAAATTGCAGCTGTGATTTGAATCATCTGGCTTGAATCTACGAATCATCAAAACGATTACCGATATTGGGAGTATCTTCAATCAAGAAATTCTAATCTATAGATAAAAAGAGATTGGAATTGAATCATGGCGAATAAAGAAAATCGATCCGTAACAACAACAACCCTTATGGAGTTTCGAGATTTGAATTTGCCCAAGGGAAAGATATATACTTATCTCAGCAAGTATTTAATGGATTCAGAGGAACTCACCAAACTAACTCAGCAGCTGACTAAAGGAGTCAGGATTTCAGAAAATGGGACAGTTAATTTGGGCGAATTGCATCATCCGTCATCATTTAAATCATCTCCTTCCTAGTTGAAAGGCAGCAGCCTCTACAGAAGGGAAAGCCCCGGTAACCACGGTGCCAGAGTCCAGACAGGAAAAGTCCCGAATAAATTAATAACTCTAACTCTTTTCCATAGAACAATCTGATTTGGCATTCATACTTGATCCGACAACCCTGCATGTAGACAGCTCTCACCGGTCATGGTATCGCTGTTAAGTTTCATTACTAAACTATAGCCTTTATTTCCTCCCTTGCTCAACGAACTCCTTTATTTATATATATATATATATATATACATATGTAAGTAAATATTGTTAATTAGAAATGTGATGAAATTTACCATAGTTTTTTAAAATATAAATATTTTTACTGTACTTTAAATGATAGAGTAAAATTGTGGATTGGGTAAGTAAAAGAACGTATTCTAAATCACCCCTCATCCAATGAAAAAGAGCAATTGGAAATTCTCATTCAAAACCTTGATGGAAAATCACCAATAGAAATATTCGAGATATTTATGGATGAAGAACTTAGTTATTTTTTCAAAAAAATATGCTGATGACAATAATCATCATGATTTCCAGATTTCTGTAACCGATTTGAAAAGATTTTTAGGTATACTAATTCTTTCTGGATACCATACACTTCCCCAAATAGATATGTACTGGTCTTTAGATGAGAATAAAGGACTGCAATCGTGGTTCCTACGATTTTGAATTCAACAAGGATGCAGAAACATGTGCAATAAAATGGAACGACAATGCTTTGGTAACAATTATCACTAATAACGGTACAATTTTGCCCCTTGTGAATGCCACACGATACAGTCGCAAAGAAAGAAAAGAAGTTGTGATTACTCAACCTAACGTTATTTCCGATTACAATAAACATATGGAAGGTGTAGACCTACATGAAAATGCCATAGCTAATTATCGCATAAAGATTCAAGGTAAGAAATGGTGGTGGCCATTATCGTTGATAGCGTTATAGTAAATTCATGGAAGCTACATAGAATTTCCACAAGCTTATATAGACTTTAGATCTTATATAGCTATTACCCTATTAAAATCTGAATCGGAAAACAATCCATCTGGTGAACACAATACATTACAAACCCATCCTAACAAATGTCGCCCATCATCCGCAGCTCTACCAAAAGAAGTACGGATTGATAGAATCGGACACACAATTAGTGCAAATGAAAAAAAAGCCCGCAGACGATGCAAAGTGTGCAAAAACCACACAATTTATTTATGCATCAAATGCAAAGTCCATTTGCATCCAAAATACTTCGAATCTTTCCATTAAAGATATAACTGTTGAAGTAAACGATTGTTCATTGATTCGGCCAATGTTGCGTAAACGCACCATTTTATTTCTTAAATAATTTTTTTTTTTTTACGCACGAAACTTATTTTTTGTCTTAATGAATGTAATTTAAGCATATTTCAATGAAAAAAATACCACATTTTATAAAATTGCTATCTTTGGCCTAAAATGGGTTAAGGTTTATTGAGAGAATAAAATGCTATTTTAAAAAGTAACAAGTTCAAACATGTTACTTTTTTACACATTTTTTATTTATACTCGTTTCTGTAAACAGACTAAACTACAAAAACAAAATTTGAAGTATTTTTATTACAAATTTTTTTTAAGGAGAATGGAGGTGTAAAAAAATCTGTAAAGGAAAGAAAATGTATTTTTCTTGACTGTGATTAGTAAATATTTAATTACAATAATTTCTAAAGCTTATGCTAAGCTATTGCTCGGTTTTTAGGAGCTGTGAGGAGAAATCCTTCGATGCAAGATAATGCAACAGACCATGAAATTGTAAAATCTATAAAAAACTGGTTGCGGCATGAAAAAGCAAGAAATGTTTCTTCATTAAAAAATTTTAAATTGTAAATTTACTTTTTCGTAAATAAACTATTTAAATATGATTGCTTCTATTCTTTGGATTTATACCCTTATTTATTTAAGATCCTTTTCAATAAGAGTGAAAATGTAAAAAAAATTTAGTTTCAGAAATATTTTTTCTTTCTTAATTTCAATTAAAACTCATAATTGCAATTTAAACAGTTCTTAAATAAATTATTAAAATTGTACTTAAAGGTAATTTCACTTTAACCTATATGTACAAAATGAAGCATTGATTTCTAATAATTTTTTTTTCACAATTGAAAAAAATACTGAATCGTAAAATATTTTCACATTGAATAATACGAAACGAAAACTGGATGCAGCTGCTGTAAGTCGTTTATTCAGTAAATCGTTTTTTTCTCAGATAATGAACTTCGTTGTTTACCAATAGGCTAGGGCCCCTGAATTAGGCTTCTGGCAATAACTTCTGTTGCCATTCACATTAAGTTTATCATCTCCGGCATGTTTTCTTTTAGTTAATTTTGTATTACATTATATTTTGAGTTTGCGAATCTGGCAATCATATTTTATTTTATTTTTTATGTTTATAGTATTATGTAAGAGAAGCTAAGATACGTTAAGTTTTAAGTTTAAGTTAATTTTATACGATTTTTATCTTTATGATCTTTACGATTATGCTTCCAATTAACTCGTAAATAATATATTATGTAAATAGCTCTATTATTCTGTGTGTCTTATTGTGCATTAAACTAATTTGAAATAAAACGAATCTCGAGTCAGAACAACTTCCTTTTTTTGCATTGCATTTTCAAAGATCGTCAAAACATAAATGCAGAGTGCGAGAGAATTTTCTCTTTTTCAGATGAAAAGTAATTTCTCTGGTACCTGTTATAAACGGAACTTAGATAAATAAAGTACCATAAACTGTGCATACTGTAAAGTTGCAGTACCATAAACTGTGCATACTGTAAAGTTGCAGTACCATAAACTGTGTATCCATAATCAAGTCGATAGTATCAGAGCTTAATAACTACGTAGCAGTGCTAGGCGATCTGCTCCCCCGTAACATGGAGATGTCGGAATCATTGTGCAAGATGTGTTTCCGGCACAAATGGATTCATGAACTTTTAGAAGGTGAAAGGGTATGGCCATTATGATCACACCAGTCTAAAATTTTGTTTACGGCTTATAGCAGTTGCCGCTCGATGACTCTCATGTCAGATCCTAAACACGAGATGTGCAGATCATCAGCATAGAGAGAGCCAAACACAGCAGTTGTCAATATGTTTCTATATATATATAAAAATCCAATGATGGTGTCGCACCAGCCAATGAAATCTAAGGTATCACGTGACAGTATGAAAGAAGTAGCCAATCCAAGCGAGGATGCAGTTTTAAGCCAATCAGGAAAGAGAACGCATTCGCGTCAAAGCTTTTTGTTGATTTACTTTGAGTGGGTTTTTGCTGATAACATCTCATCTTATCTTATCATTCTTATGCCTATCCAGTGATTGATATCTTTCAATGTTTACATTTTTGTTATTTGCTATTATAAAGCTTACTGAGGTTTGCTCACCTTAAAATGGTTAAATTTTAAATCACATTTATTTATTCAACTCATTTCAATCATTTGGAATTTCAGTATAATGTCTGACAGGACAGATCGCGACGAGAATATCGCAGACAGCGGAGATTGGATCCCACGTTTCGTCAAAATGAACAAGAGCGTCGAAGAATAAATCGACAAAATAATCGAGAGCTTACTAATGCCCGCCAAAGAGAAAATCGAAGTAGGGCAGCTAATCGTCTTCGAGAAATAGATGAAAATCAGTATTTGGGAGAATCGTACAGTCGTGACTGTCCACCTCTTTTNAAGCTGAACCCAACTCATCCGTATCCAGAAACTTTGAAACAGCTTTTATTGGGAAATGACAATGACTCAATGAATTTCAGGCAAAATATACGTTTTCACAATTCGTCTTTTGCTATGGCAGCATTTTGTGCAACCCAAGAAATTCAATTTAAAGGTATAAGCTGTGTTGCTCTTCGTGGGGAAGTTAAAGCAATGGCCACAACCAGCATCATGCCAGCGAACAATGAAAAACCACGTTTTGCGCAAATCTATATCCATGAAAATGAAACTGCTTTGGCCTGCCGAACATCTGAGCGCTGCAAACCAATTGTTTTAAAAATTATTCAAGATGTTATGCAGCTAAACCCATACGCTCAAGTGTATAAATCGCTGTTTGAAGCTTATAAGTGTTCGCCTTGAATTTCACAAGTTGACCACTACTGATGGCAGACGTTATAATCTTCCAACATCTGGTGCTGCTGCTGAAGTGTCGGCTGTTGTTGTGACAGGTGCTGAAGGTTTAATACCTGATCATGTACAATTTATCGCATACCCAAAACACCAGTTTGTGTGTCAAAAGATGTATAAACTGTCTCATCATGTGGAACAAATGGTTTTCCCATTGCTTTTTCCATCAGGTGATCCTGGTTATTCCCTAAACGTACCAAATAATGCAGGATCAAGTCGTTTTACTGCTGTACAGTATTTTGGATGGCGGTTGCGAGTGCTTAGAGACTTTAACATTTTCGCCTCTGCTGGTCGTTTATCCCAGCAATTTATTCTACATGGTTGCATTACTATGGAGTGGAACAGGCTGAATTATATCAAAAGTCATCAGAATTTATTTCGGAGAGAAACACTTCAAGGGCTGATTGATCATGTGCAGTATAGTTCTGCCAATACTTCAGACTTTGTACGACTTGGGCGAGCTGTCGTTCTTCCATCATCATTTGTTGGCAGTCCGAGAGCAATGCAGCAGCATTTCCAAGATTGTATGGCTCTCTCAAGAGATGTCAGACGACCTGATTTGTTTGTAACTTTCACAGCAAATCCACAGTGGCCAGAAATTACAGAATACTTGAGTCAACTTCCAACAGGATTCACTGCAAGTGACATTCCACATGTTGTTGTACGAGCATTCTATTGCAGATTTGAGGAGTTTGTGAAAGAGATAGCTGCAGGAAAGGTTTTTGGCAAAGTAATGGGCTATACTTTTAGTATTGAATTTCAAAAGAGAGGTCTCCCACATGCCCATTGTTTATTCATTCTCAACCCACGTGACAAATTGCTGACCCCATCATCAATTGATAGATTTATCTGTGCTGAAATACCTCCAAAAGATAATTTTCCAAATCTGCATCAAAAAGTGTCCAAACATATGTTACATGGCCCACATAGTGAAGCAACTCCATGTTATGACAAAACAAGTGGCATCTGTACAAAAAAATTTCCTTTCGCTTTTCGAGAAGAAACGGATATGTCTGGTGATGGTTTTCCTTTATATAGACGTAGAGATAACAGGAGTGATATGCATTTCTATAACAAACGTATTGGAAACTTGCTAATTCCTATCGATAATTCGATGGTTGTTCCCTACAATGCCTATCTCCTTCTGAAATACAATTGTCATATCAATGTGGAGTACTGTGGAAGTGTAATGGCGTACAAATACATTTTTAAATATGTTAACAATGAATCAAGGTGACAATTTCGAATGATGATAATGGGGTACAATTAAGAAATGAAGTTGACGAGTTCATCGATAGCCGATATGCAAGCTCAATGGAGTCAGCTTGGCGTTTATTGGAATTGCCGATG